CCCCTCCCGCTCGCCCCTCCACGCCCCCACACAACCCTGCACTGCCCTTCGGCCGACAGGATTAGCGGTCAACCGCTTTCCCATTGGACACTCACATTCGCTTGCCCATTGGTTTTTGACCACTCGTGAATTTTGGTGAGTGGAGGTGGTAGGGTATATGGGATCAAGCCAGTAACGCTCCAAGGGGTTCTGGGCCCCCGCTTAAGAAGTATTGATGGGGGGAGGGGGCATTTATAGTCAGCTGTGAGTCGGGCAGGCGGTGTTATTTCCGTCCATCCGTCGACCCATCGATGTAAGCTCCGGGGTGTTGGAGGTCGATGGTCAATATATTCCAGCACTCTGTCTCTCTCTCCGTTACACGCTCTCGTGACGTTCCTCCAAGCTGAGCTGATCTGGGTCCGCTGTGTCGTTTGGAAGGCACCAGGGCTTCATTTCAGCCGAACCTATCCAGGGCTGGTCTTCGGGGAGGTTTGGGGGAGGAGGTCGGTCTGAGGGATTGGGCACATGCGGGTCGGGGAGGGGAAGGAAATATCCATGATAAATTAAGCCCTGGATGGAACTAAACACCACAGCATCCCTTGGCAGCTGGAGCTGTTTCGCCGAATGCGGTGACTCTGCCTTAGCCAGTCACGGGAGGAGCGTGGATTGAGGAGGTTCCGTGATTGCCGGTGGGGCCTGACCGCGGTGCCACGGGGCAAGCAGCGATGCGTAGAGGTCGCCTGCTCCCTTGCCAGCAAAATCCTAGCTCCACTCTTACCAGCCATGAATCACTCATCCCCCCCCCCCTGCTCCCAGCCCCTCCCCCCATGCCCTCGACCCCCCCCCCACCCCCTCGTGCGTGCGACCACTCCTCGGCCCACGTGTTTGGCGATTTATGGCACGCGTTGCTGCTGGCAGATGTTTGTTTAACATAATGCTTATCGAGCACGGTGGTGGATAATTCTACAAAATGAAATTGCGCGGCTCATCAGCGGGATCGGACTCGCACACGAAACTCGATCTGGCTGCCCTTGTGGTTTTTTGTTGTCGTCTTGGTTTTTTTTTAACGCCGATTGCTCGTATCGTCAATCCTTGGTGTGGAGGTGGACGTGGGAGGGTGTGGACGTGGGTGGGTGGCTGTCGGTGGGTGGACGTGGGTGGATGGACGTGGGTGGGTGGACGTGGGTGGGTAGACGTGGGTGGCCGTCAGTGAGTGGACGTGGGTGGGTGGCCGTGGGTGGACGTGGGTGGGTGGCCGTGGGTGGACGTGAGTGGGTGGACGTAGGTGGGTGGCCGTGGGTGGACGTGGGTGGGTGGACATGAGTGAGTGGACGTGGGTGGGTGGCCGTGGGTGAATAGACGTGGGTGGGTGGCCGTGGGTGAGTGGACGTGGGTGGGTGGCTGTGGGTGGGTGGCCGTGGGTGGGTGGACATGGGTGGGTAGACGTGGGTGGGTGGGTGGACGTGGGTGGGAGTATGTGGAGCGCGGTCGCGTTTGTGTGTCTGGGAGATCCTTTTGTTAACATAGTCGGGGTAACGGGTTTGTGTTATGAAACGTTGGTCTGTGGGAACAAGTACCAGAGCAGTCGTCTATTATAAAAATACAAAAGGTCAAGGTGCAGCTCTGCAATGCCTTGCTCACATCACTGCTGGCGGAAGAGCCTCCATTCGCGGTAGTTCTATAGAGAGACCCTCTGGAGTCTAGAGGAATTTTTTGTCCGGTCTACTCTTCCACGCCTTTCAGACGTCTTGGAAGTGGGGGTACCCACACTTTACCCCACCACACGGGCACTGCCAATCGACTGTCTCAATGTGCCCTTTAGCTATGCGGTATCGTCTCACTGAGTCTCAAAACTCGTTTTCATGAGGCTCCTGCTGCCTCGTGACGATTGTTTTGCACGTGCGGGGCAAGACAGACACACTTTCTTTTCCCTATCCATACACACGGACGTCGCATAGACGTGAGCACATGGCCACAAATAATGGATGCTTGCACACACACGTGTGTGTGGGTGTGTGGCACAATATGTTTAAGAGAGGGCTGAAATAAGGCCCCCTGCATTTAAAATCGTTAAAATAAGGCAGGTTTAAACAGCGCGGAGGCAGATTGACAGTGGAGCTCTGCTCACAAGCACGCTTGTACCAACAACCGCTATTCGTCACTAAGTGGCGGTGACGTCACCACGGCGCCTGTGCCAGGCTATGTGCACGTTAAGGCCACGTGAAGTGTCGAACGCCCGCTGGCAGGAGGTCACGGGACAGACCCAGGTGCCATGGGTCAACTGATTGAGATGACCGGTCGATGCACCACCTGTGCCCCTACTGTGCCAACTTGCTGTGTTTTATCCACCCGGCGGTCCGTCCGTTGTTGTGAGCGTTGCTTCTCTGCACCTCCGTTGTTGCTGGAGGGCGACTGCCTCCAACTGCCCAGTAGCGGCAGCGTCCTTCACGAGCCCCTGCCACAGAGGCCGACCTTGACACCGCTGGCACCGTTCGTCTGCAAGTGCCACTCAGCTCCACATCCTCCCGTACCCACACCACTCAATCTCTTCTGCAGCCCGTGCCGCGCCCGTTTAGGCCCCCTCTATCCTTCCGAACAAAAGGTTGTTTAGGGCACGCGGTGGCCGTGCATGCGGGCTACATGAACCAGCCAACCGGTGCCCCTCCCTGACACGCGATCGCCACTGACAGATGTGCACGTGGTACCTGGCGCGCGATCCAATATTCTCGGTGTGCACGTGCCATCTTTAAAATACGCGTAATTTGGTTATTAGAAAAATTGTAACAGTAATGTTAATTTCCAACGCAGGTTTGGATATCTAACTGTGCTAAGTTAATGGAGTTGTTTTTGTCAGCTATAGTGGTGATGTTAATTCTAGCACGTGTGGGCAACCACCATGCGAAGATTTAACATGTTTATATTTAAGTGGGAATATTTTCACAACATAAATGACTGCTATAAATTCTGATTACGTATAAGATTCGTGAGTTCATTTAATTATTCTAGTGATCAGTTTAGATGGTTAAAAGTGCCGAAATTAAAAGGTATATACAAACACAATGCACGATTATTTTTTTAAATTGATAAATGAGAGCTCAAAGTCACGTAGAATGAGAATAAAATAATAAATTTATCAAATAAAATAACACAATAATATTCTCACGACGTTTCGGCCGAAACGTTATTTTATTCTCATTCTACGTGACTTTACCGAAAGAACCAAAGAAGATGAATCCTTGCACTCACGAAAGCTTTAAATCGAAATTGAGAGCTCAAAGTTGTGGTTTTAGTACATTAAGGTTACACTGCGTATGGATCAGTTCATGAATAGTGATGGCAATGATTTAATGTGTAAAGTGTGTTGAGTGTTTCTTCAAGATATTAATAAGTAATGGGAATTCAGTACAGTACATAAAACTAATTGAATCCATGTGTAGTTCAATAGTTACTGGCATTTCTGATTCATTGGTTAATGTGGTAAGGAATGTCACTGATATATATATCATTACATTTGAACATTAATTTATCAGATTGCATGTTTAAATACGTAGTTTGATTTGGCATAATAACTTCATAATCTTGAGGTAAAGTATAAACCATATGATTTTTTAACTCAGAGCCATTGAATTAAATTACAGACTCTTGTTCGTATCAAACGTAAGAGGAGGAAAGTGTTTTCACGATTCCATAATAAACTCCTAAAATGGCCAGTTGGACTGAAACAATATCCTGCAAAAGGTTACAAAAGTTAAAAAGAAAATGTGGGGACGACATTTGTGTATCATGCACTATATACACTTTTCACGTGTCAGGATGCGAACAAAATACATCTCCTGCAGTTGTATTTATGTATTAACAATTGTGGGGGGGGGGTTGTTTTATATATATCACAAATCAGCATGTGAAATTGCATGCATTGTTTCTTCCAAATGCACAACGTTCATCCTCTGGGCGGTGTTCAGTATTTAGTGAAGTTTGCGTCGTAGGCGTTGGATTGGATGGGGATCGCGCGTTTCTGTGTGCGAGCAAACGTGTCTCCGTGTCCGTCTGTGTGTCTTCTCACACGCACGGATCAAGCAAGCTTGTTGAGCTCTGCTCGCGTGCATGAGTGAGATGGATTGTGGCATCACAGGACGGAGAGGGATGACGACGGTGTGGGGAAAGCTTCATCAAGCCTTCATCTTTAGTAGGGGCCATCCATTTAGAACGTACCCATGGAGGGGGGAGGGGGTTAACCCAAATGCGTTCGCTTGCGTATGGGGGGGGGTCTACTGACAATGTACGCAAAGGAAATGGGGGGGGGGGTGAAGCCTCGATAATAATTTGTCTACATTGGCCTCCAAATGAATTAGATAGTCCGGCGGTGGATTATCTGTTTGCTTAAACACGTTAATATTATTCATCCTTGATCGTTTCTGCGTGGATTAAATATCGTCCGTTCTATAGGATTCGGGAGGGGGGGGGGGGTGCGTCAGGCTGTACGTACGCAGCTGGGGTGGGGGGGGGGGTGTAAAAAGTTCGCGTGCGTACAGGGAGGGGGAAGGGGTGTGCTGAAGTATTAACGAATTGGCACGTTTTGTTTACGTGACAAACCTTATTAATTGGTTGTGTCGGGTGGTGGTGGGTTAACGACATATGCGATCTAACCCCAAAAAACCTTTATTATGGATAATATTTGTCTCGGAAGCCTACGTGTTAAACTGAGGGACCTTAGTCTTTGTTTGTATAACTGTATCTCAACATATCAACAATGGTCAAGCGTTGGCCGATGTTGGTTTGTTTCCAGTAGTCCCTGTACTGGGACATACCACACGCACGTGACATCATACATGTGTGAGCACACACCATGGGTTTTAGTGAGTGCGTGAAAGTTATTCTTGCGTGAGGGTCAGGGGTGGTGAAGAATATGTGAAGAGTCCCCCCACCACCCAGCCTTGCATCTTCGACAGAACTACGATGATGATGATGATGATGCTGACGATGATTGATAATCATGACTACAGAGATGGTGGTGATGATGTTGATGGCGATGATGACGATGGCAACGATGAGGATTATGACAATGATGTTGATGGCTTTGATGATGATTGTGGTTTGCTCTCTCAGTCGCGCTCTGATCCTTCCGGCCCATTTCCCCTGGAGAAAGAGGGAGAGGAAATCTCCATGGACTCCCAGCGCCAGAAAGGCAGCTCCGTACTTACAGCTCGCTTCCTCTCTCCTCCCTCTCCCCTCCTCGTTCTCTTCTCTCTCCACTCCACTACCTGTGTTGAGGTGGGTGTCGCGCGTGAACTTCAATCCGTGTACCCTCCGCATTCTTTCTAATTCCAAGCTCAAATTGATTTCTGATAGAGCCTCACTGCGCATTGCGCCCGCGAATTTAGGACGTGCCGAGTGAATGTTGGTCGCGTGCATGGGGTGCATGGGAGGGGGTGGGGGTGGGTTATTTTCCTGTTGTGGTGTGTTCGTGGTATCTCTCGTGTAGTCTACTCATAAGAGCTGGTACACGGCCGCCGTGCTGGTTACACTGATATCTCTCCCAGAGCTCTCAGCGGAGCGGCACGCGTGCGTTTCTCGGCTTTTTGGTCGTGCCCGATATGCATTCAACCGGCGTCGAGTTCCTAGAGGACTCCACGAGGTTTCTATCCAGCACCGAACAAGAAACAGCAGCAATGTGGCAGGTGAACGTATTCCCAGTGACACCTGCCGGACCGGCTGTTGTTGTTTTCCTCTTTCCGTCTTCTCTTTCTCTCTCATTCTCTCTTTCCTCTCCAGGACTTGCACTCGGAGGATGACGGGGTTGATGCCACAGGCACATCCCACGCTCGAAACTCGAATGTGTGCTGAGGAACACCACGCGTGTATCCGCCGAGTGGCGCGGGTCTGAATTGAACATTGGCGAGATCACGTTATGATGGATAGTTTACGGAGAAGGCCGTGTGTGCTGCTACTCCTCGTCCATGTACTTTTTTTGTTCGCCCTCAAACGTAAGTCTGCTTGTTAATAAACCAATTCCATTAACGTCCGGGCTACGTGCGTCCATGTCTGAGTATGCTGCGTGTGTTAGGTTTCGTGTTTATTGTATTATTCTTCATTTGTTTAATGAGCGTTGCTTGTCCAAGCCAGAGTGTTTGTGCGCGTCCCGTGTCTTAACCCAGAGTGTGCCGTCGCGTGCCGCTTCTGGGTGTGAGGTTGTTAGTGAGAGAAATGGACACATCTAGGTAAGGGGCCACGTTATGCGAACCCAGCACGCGAACGTGGCTGAATTTCACTAATTGCGCCCCAAATATTGCGTAATATGCCCCAGAACAAACCGGCTCATGTGGTGGCCGTGGTACTGCTCACAGCTGCTGCCTCATTCAATCGGTCTGGATGTGTGAATACGTTTACGTACTCCACACACCACGCAAGTAGCTAGACGCATCACTTGTTGCAAGAAGAAATCTACATTGGGTCCTGTTCATCCATTACATTTTCATTTGCGAGTCTGCGCTATACTTAGCTAATTCATTAACCCCATTGTCAAACCCCAAAAAAACCTAAGACGTCCAAATAATGTGAGTTTTCACTATCCCAAGAAAAATAATTGGAATAGGTGACAAAGCCTTTGCCATTGCAGCACCAACCTTTTTGAACAACCTTGTTTTCTCCCTTAACATGAACCTTTTGCCACTGTGATTTGTAAATATGATTCTTAACAATGTATCGATAGTTAAATTTTAATGTACAATTTTATTGAGAGACTGTGTGTGATCTTAGTGTGGTCTGGGACTGATTTTTTTCTATTTTACTGCCTTTCCCAAGCTAGTCTGAACATTTTTTGATTTAAAGCTTTCGTGACGGCAGGGATTCATATTCTTGGTTCTTTCGGTAAAGTCACATAGAAGGGAAACAATAAAATAATAAAAATATTGTTTTATATTTTTAATAATAATAATTTGTAATAATACAAATATTAAGCAATATTTTTATTATTTTAGTGTTTCCCTTCTACGTGACTTTACCGAAAGAACCAAGAATAGTCTGAACATATTATTTATTATTTTAAGGGGCACTACGGTGGTGGGATCTAATCTTACTCGCCTGGTATGCAGGAGGTCGGGGGTTTGACCCCGATCATGACGCCTGCATATTGGAAGTTTGCATTTTCTCAGGATCCTCCAGTTTTTCCCTCCACATTTATAAACATGCATTGAGATCATCTAGATTATTTTGCTGCTCTTAATTTCCACATAAACCAATTTGTTGAGCTATCATTTGTGGCCAAGTGGTTTCTGAAAAATAAGTTAAAACCTCAGTGGGCTTCACCTGGTAAGATAACAAAAATATACAGTTCAATTGTATGTGTATATTTTAAGTTATTTATCTTTACTATACTTTGTACTCCTATCCTGCTTTTGAATTGTTTGTTTTGTTGTAACGTTCTGACCCGCCCCAGCTGGACATCTGTGAAAAAGAGCTTTATCGGATTCATTCAGGATTTATAAATATTTTTATTCTGCATCCCGGATCACTGATAAACCACGACCTTTACATTGCACGTGCAATATATGGTGATCCTGCACATTTCACCTGATGATAAACCGCAGCTGGACGCTCTTTCCATCACAATGTACGAAATAGCTGATTTAATATACTGTGTGTGTATGCGCACGCATTTGTCAGTGTATCATAATAGTGGGGAGCGGTATTGGAGTGGTTAGCACACAGCACTGCGAACCCCTTGGCCAGAAATCGATTCCAGCTCACAGCTAACAACATCGATGGCGAATATTTGAACTGGTGCTGGGCCTTAAATGAGCACGCGGTGCGGTGTGTAGTAAACATCAGCATTTGGGGAGACAAAGGCGGCCCTGGTGTGATGCTAGCCAACCAACCCGCCCCCTCGTGTGCCGTCCCGGTCTTCACGTGTGCTCACGAACAGCACTTGCCCCAACAGTCTGTTGAAGACTAGACGGGGGGGGGGGGTCTTTGTCTTGTGTATGTGAAATGGATATTTGAGTGATGGGAGAAAGGATCATGAATTGCGCCATCATCAGGAATCCGGGACCTGTTCGAGAGAGACATTTCAGTCGCTCCGGCAGCAAAAGCGCGAAAGGGAGAACGATTTTGGACGCGTCCCTGAGAACCTCGGTGAACAAGAATCAAACTGCTCATGTGCTGTGTGCGTTGACATCAATTAATTATCATGCGTGCGGTTAGCGCGCTGCGCTATGAACCTGGCGACCCGGGTTCGATTCCCGCTCACGGCCAACACCCAGTGACGATTATCTGAACCGGTCCTGGGCCTTCCCTAGGTCGACTCAGCCTCAAATGAGTACCTGGTGCGGTGGATAAAAACATTGCCACTGGGGAGACAAAGGCGGTCGGGCATGGTGCTGGCCACCCACCCCCTCGTGTACCGTTCCGGCCTTCATAGGTGCTCGCTAACAGCACTTTTGCCCCTACAGTCTGTTAAGGCTAAACGGGGGATCTTTATCATCTTTATATTTATATAGCAATGAGCATCAGCACTGGGGAGACAAAGGCGGCCGGGCGTGCCCGCTTGGCTCAGTAGGTTCTGGTTGTCTTGTAAAGCCAGAAAGGACGGAAATAAGGTCATTGTCTGTGTGTGTTTGTATATGACTTCACGGATGTGCCCTTATCATTCGTGTGATTTGTGAAGGCACTTGCGCGTCAGAGGCAGAGAAAAGGCTCCTGGACTATCTGCTCCAGAAAAACAGATACAACAAAGACATTCGCCCGGCCATCAATAACTCGCAGCTGGTTACAATCGCCTTTCACATCTCCCTGTGCCAGATCGTCAATGTCGTGAGTGTCCTCAGCCCCCCTCCCCCTGTTTGTATTCGAGTAGATATTTTAATAGTAGTTTTTACTTCTTTCGTGGGCCATGATCTCATTGAGAAACCCATGGGTGGTCCAATTCGCTGTTATCTCCACTAAAGAAGCTTTGGCTCGATTCAGTAAACACACGTGCTGTCTGCAAAGTTTATATAGATCGTGTTATATTTTAATTCACTGAGAATGCTTACATGTCTTCGAATAACATAAGCGATGCTCATAAATGATACCTGGTTTTTAACCAACATACTTCGAACCCACGTGTTAATGTTGTATTTATTTGTTTATGATATGGAATTTAACTTGGTGGTGAACGAAATTCGCATTGTGGTATTACAGTGTATCTGCGGGGTGTGATTTACTTTAGGATAGGAGTTCCCTGCCAGTAAAATGTCACGGTTCTGTTCCTCCAATAAGTATTCCTGTCTCACCTACATTCACCCTCCAGAGCAACAACTCCTACACCTTCCGCCTCCCACACACAAAATATATCATTAAATTAACGTAAATATTACAAGTACAGAAAAAGCACTTGCATTTGTTTGGTGAGAGTATGTGACCGGTTGACAGGTGACTTTAACAGTCTATAGATGAACATACCGCGTTGCATGGCGCGCGTCATCAATTGTGATTTTGTTTCGCAACATTAAGGATATAAGGGAGCAGATCATGACGACCAACGCGTGGCTCACCCAGGTAAGATCGAAGCTCGTAAATACATGAACACAGTCGCTGCGAACACCTACCAGTACGGGCAGTCCTCGGCGTATGAACATCAGTCGTTCCCGAGACCCGTTCGTAAGTCGAATGGTTCATAAGTCGGAACACATTCTGTGTTTATGACATGTATTACGAATCAACGAAAAAGGGAGGCATTGCTAAAGTCATAAATAATAAATATGTTTAACATTTGCATGTTATAATTACTGTATAGCAAATAAATGGCTGAGGTTCCGTCTGTCGCAGAAGTAGGATGGGCGATCCGGAGTCTGAGACCAGGCAGAGATGATCTCCCAAGTGAAATGCTGAGGGAGAGTGGCGTCTGTGTGCAGACTGCCCGACATGACATAATCACAAATGTCTGGACCACAGGACGGGTTCTGCAAGATTGGAAGGATGCACTCGTGGTCCCCCATCTTTAAGATAGGGGGGACCGCACAGATTGTAACAACTACAGGGGCATCTCTCTTCAGTGTGCCTGGAAAGGTCCTGGCAAGGATTATTCAACATCGCCTTGCCAGGCACGCTGAGGAGAGGCTTGCTGAGCCCCAATGTGGTTTCAGACCAGGGCGGTCCTGCACGGATGCCATATTCTATGTTCGTCTGTTACACCAGAGGTGTGGGGAATTCCAACAAGACCTACATTATTGCTTTATTGACCTGGTGAATGCCCATGATACCATCAACAGGCCAGGGCTCCGGGCTGTTCTACGTGCTTTCGGAGTCCCTGACTCTGCTCACAATCATTAAGGGCCTTCATGAGTAAAGCTATGTGGCCCAGAGCCAGAGCCATTCCCTGTTTACCTGTTCACCTTGGGGTGCGACAGGGATGTACTCTGGCTCCTACATTGTTTAAAACCAACGACAGAGATTCCCCGTGTGTCCTTAACAGACTTTTGGGACAACTGTTGTTAGCGAGCACCTATGAAGGCCGGCATTGTACACGAGGGGATGGCTGGCCAGCACCACGCACGGCCGCCTTTGTCTCCCGAGTGGCAATGTTACACACTGCACTAGGTACACATTTGAGGCTGAGTCGACCTAGGGGAGGCCTAGGGCTGGTTCAGGTAATCGTTACTGGTGTTGGCCGTGAACGGGAATCACACTTGGGTAACCGGGTTCGTAGCGCAGCACGTTAAACGCTATACTATTGCTACCCACACACTTTTACACACACACACATGTCCACGCGTGTACACACATGCACAACCACTCCCAGCGCGAGGCCGACTTATTACATTTTACAGAGGATCGCTCCTCTGAACAAAATAGTTCCGTGGTTCAGTTTGCAATTGCGAGTTCGCATTTTAAGTCGATCTATTTTTTTTTATGGAAACTGGTTCGTAAGTACGGGCGTTCATAAGTCAGGTGTTGGTAACTCGACGACTGCCCCTAAAGTCTTTATATCATGAAAGTGCTTTGGGTCGTTTGCCAAATTACAATGAATGTATTTTCGCATTATTGTGTTATTATTTTAAGGGTTGTTTCATCACATAACAGTGTGTGTTCATGTGTCAGTACCTTAGTAACTTTTGCAAGTCAATTCTACATTCTCGTGGCTGGGTCAAGTTAATTCCACTTTATGACTGTTGACTTTTGTCAAATAGAGCAAGTCAAGATCTATAAGTATCTTGGGGTCATCCTGGATTCAAAACTGAATCTTGAAGATCACATTGATTATATTGGTAAAAAGGCAAAAATAAAAATTGGTTTTCTGTATCGACACAAGCACTGCTTCCCCCCAATGTTCCGTTTGGAATTGATAAAAAGCTACCATACTGCCTCTACTCGACTACTGTAACATCGTGTATAAATCAGCCCCAAGTACTGTACTGAAGAAGCTTGATTCCATCTATCACTCGGCCTTAAGATTTACATTGAACTGCGCACATAGGACTCACCACTGTGATCTCTACATTGGGTCAAACTTAACATCTTCTTAATGTTTGACGGCTTGTGCACCACATCTTATTTATTCACGATGTACTTACAAAAAAATCCGCAGACTACCTGCTGGATCTCCTCTCTGTTTCAAAGAACAAATTTGACCTCAGGTCTTCGCTCATTTACCAGCTTCACATTCCCTATTGCCGTAGAAAAACTGGAGGAAGGGCCTTTGCTATTGATGCCCCCAGAGTCTGGAATGCTATTTCCAATAAACTGCAACTTGAATCGCTACCAATGAGATCTTCTCTCAAAACTGCTCTAAAGGAGTTGTACACCCCTAGCTGCCACTGCTATTCATTGGCGTAAAATAAAATGTTTCGCTCCGGATGACGCTGCAAAGTATTATCTGAATTTTGATTTAGCGTGCTGATCTTAAAGGTGCATTGAAAAATTTGATACTCCGACCGATGCTTCTGTTGTTGTGGACTAACTCATGCAGCCAGCTATGGCTCTAGGATTTGGTGTTACATGCTATTTACGTAGTTTATTGTAAAAATTCGGTCACAGTCCTTGTGATCACTTTTACTTTGCAATTATGGCTTTATTTTTTGGTGATTTGGAAAACTTTTTTGGTTTGGACATGTTTATTTTGTTGTAGTACGGAGTTAGACTGATGGCCTTAATCGAAGTTTTTGTGGTTGTTGTTGTTTGACTTGCATCCCACTGCGATTTTTTGCACACAGCATTGGTGTACGGTGCTTTTTTTCAGGAATATTTTTGCTGTTTTTTTTTTCCATGGATTTTCTGTTTGCACAGTCACATAGTCACTTTAAGATGTTTTTCTTGTTCGTGTTTTTGTTTTTTTTCGTTTGTTGTGGTTGCACCCGATTCAAGAGCCGAATGGCTCACAGGGCTATACCAAAATGAACTGAAACTGAAAACTGACTTCCTACTGAGTAGTGCAACTCTGCACGTGGTGCTCATTCACAGAACTCGGGTGGGGGTGGGGGGGTTGAAGGGATGGTTTGGGGAATTAAGTCGACCTTCTAAGTCCACTGTTTAATAATAACACTGCCCTGAATTTACCCAGGAAAGCCTCATTGAATATTAAGGCTCCGTTTTTAGAATGAGGACATTGGGATGTTTGGACAATTCCATAAATTAGTTTTTGACGTGTGGGAGGAATCCTGAGCACGCAGAGGCAACCCACCACGCATCCAACAAAGCTCCTTACAGATGGATTCCAACTCTGTACTTCAATCTCCTGGCCACCTCGCATCCCAAACCAACACAAAACTCCATCCGAGTACTAACCAGGCTCTATCCGATGAGATTGGACACATTTAGGGTGACATGATCGTTGACAATTGGTGTGATATTCCGGTATTAGATTGTTAACGGCACGACACCAGAGTTGCTTTGGTGGATTACTACATCAACAGGATCGTGATATGTGGCTGAGGCTTGGAGAGGTCTTCATCCAGCAGTGGATTAATGATATCTGATGATGCTATTAACAATATATGCAGTGTAATCATTATGTAAAGGTGACTTGTAAAATAATGTAACAGTTGATGGCCTGTACATACGTTTTATGCCCTGTCCTCAAAGCCTTTTATCTGCCTCTGGCGTGTTTATGGTCTATATACAATGATAAATTACTGCTTCATCAATAATGCACACGTTAATTGAATTCTATCATGGTACATTAAAAAAACTCGATTTGTGTCCCCCCATTGGAAGTGAATGGAAGCTTCGACGTTATGTGCTGCAGTCTTCATTACAGTGTTACGGTTATAGATACGACTTAGTGGCGATAAGTAATTTTATTATTCGAGCTGGTAGGATATAGGGGACACGCGTCAGAGAGTTAATGGGAGGAGTTTCCGAAAGAAATGGAGAGAGGTGGAAAAAGCTACAGGTATTGGTGAGTTACACAGGTGAGTTACACAGGCATGTGATATCTGGCTGGCAGTGGTGAGACCAGGGTCAAAGATCGACTTAACCAGCCATCCCTGTGTGGTCGATAAAACTAATAACACGTTGTAGAAAATCAACAGCAGTTATTCCTGTGGATATACTTGTACCCATCATAATAAAATGGAGTTTCCAGGAGATGACTGACGGTCCATGCATGCTTGCCCCTTTGACCAGGCAAATCACTTGCGAGGAGGAAGGGGGGGGGAGCGGTAGTGTAGTGGTTAGCGTGCTGCGTCACGAACCTGGTGACCCGAGTTTGATTCCCACTCGCGCCCAACACCAGTGACGATTATCTCAACCGGTCCTGGGCCTCCCCTAGGTCAACTCAGCCTCAAATGCGTACCTGGTGCGGTCTATAAAAATCGCCACTCGGGAGACAAAGGCGGCCGAGTGTGGAGCTGGCCAACCACTCCTTTGTGTGTCGTGTGGGCCTTCATAGGTGCTCGCTAACAGCAGTTACCCCAACAGTATGTTAAGGCTATACGGGGAATCTTTGTTCTGGGGGGCAACTCCCCTTAATTGTTTAAGTTGTTGTGCACTTTGAATGCAATCTGAGAGTGTCCTTGCTGTTTACAGGAGTGGATTGACTACCGGCTCAAGTGGGCCCCAGCTAATTATGAAGGATTGGACGAGACGCGGCTGCCCTCCAAAGAGATCTGGCTGCCCACTATCGGCCTTAAAAATAAGTGAGTATTGCCGCGGGTTGTGGCGCGCAAGGTCACGCACCGCTCGGCGACCGTGGTTGATTCTTTTCATCTTGACGGCTGTACCAGCGGCAGTACACGTACGATGTGGTCATTACTAAGTATACTGGAGTTCGTATAGGATGAGACTTTCTGCCTCCCTCCCTCCCCGACTCCCTCCCTCGCCTGCGCGGTGCAGGTTACACGATTGGGGCGCCACTGTGGTGAGATGTTAACTTCCTCGCCTGGTGTGCAGGAGGTCGTGGATTCGATCCTGACAACGATGCCTGTATATTTCATTATGAGACCTCCTTTGCCAGTAGCAAGATATAGTAATAGGTTTGTACCCTTTTATCTGGCACCAAAACTGGCACCTTTATACAAGGGATCATGTTTGCAATAACCACAACACAAGCAGTCAAAATGCAAACAAAAAGAGACAACTCTGATAATTATATGCACTGTCCTTGAAATTGATTGGTCCACACCCGAGACGGCTTTTCTTAGAGCCTAGTCTCGACTGGTGTTGGACCAGATGACGCCAAAATGTGTCAGTTTTGGTGCCAGATAAAAGGGTAAAAACCTATTACTATATCTTGCTACTGGCAAAGGAGGTCTCATAATGTAAATGCTTAACCCGAGCTCTCAATACTCTGATAGTGCGCTGTTTTTGAGTTGTACGTGTGGACCAATCAATTTCAAGGACAGTGCATATCATTATCAGAGTTGTCTCTTTTTGTTTGCATTTTGACTGCTTGTGTTGTGGTTATTGCAAACATGATCCCTTGTATAAAGGTGTCAGTCTTGGTGCCAGATAAAAGGGTAAAAACCTATTACTATATCTTGCTGCTGCTGTAGATTTGGGAGTTTGCACGTTTCTCCCGCGTTCGCGAGCATTTTTCTCCGGAACCTCGGTTTTTCCTTCCACATTTAGATATACACGTTTCGAGAATTTGGCGGCGATACATTTCAATGTGATGAGCCACTTCCTTCAGCTATTGTATGTGGCCAGCTCGCTTCTGAAAAATACCTATATACAGTGAGGGAAAAAAGTATTTGATCCCCTGCTGATTTTGTACGTTTGCCCACTGACGAAGAAATGATCAGTCTATAATTTTAATGGTAGGTTTATTTGAACAGTGAGAGACAGAATAACAACAAAAATGTCCAGAAAAACGCATGTCAAAAATGTTATGAATTGATTTGCATTTTAATGAGGGGAATAAGTATTTGACCCCTCTGCAAAACATGACTTAGTACTTGGTGTCAAAACCCTTGTTGGAAATCACAGAGGTCAGACGTTTCTTGTAGTTGGCCACCAGGTTTGCACACATCTCAGGGGGGATTTTGTCCCACTCCTCTTTGCAGATCTTCTCCAAGTCATTAAGGTTTCGAGGCTGACGTTTGGAAACTCGAACCTTCAGCTCCTTCTACATATTTTCTATGGGATTAAGGTCTGGAGACTGGCTAGGCCACTCCAGGACCTTAATGTGCTTCTTCTTGAGCCACTCCTTTGTTGCCTTTGGCCATTGTCATTCTGGAATACCCATCCACGACCCATTTTCAATGCCCTGGCTGAGGGAAGGAGGTTCTCACCCAAGATTTGACGGTACATGGCCCCGTCCATTGTCCCTTTGATGCGGTGAAGTTGTCCTATCCCCTTAGCAGAAAAACACCCCCAAAGCATAATGTTTCGACCTCCATGTTTGACGGTGGGGATGTTGTTCTTGGGGTCATAGGCAGCATTCCTCCTCCTCCAAACACGACGAGTTGAGTTGATGCCAAAGAGCTCCATTTTGGTCTCATCTGACCACAACACTTTCACCCAGTTGTCCTCTGAATCATTCAGATGTTTATTGGCAAACTTCAGACGGGCATGTATATGTGCTTTCTTGAGCAGGGGGACCTTGCGGGCGCCGCAGGATTTCAGTCCTTCACGGCGTAGTGTGTTACCAATTTTTTTTGTGCCTATAGTCCCAGCTGCCTTGAGATCATTGACAATATCCTCCCGTGTAGTTCTGGGCTGATTCCTCACCGTTCTCATGATCATTGCAACTCCACGAGGTGAGATCTTGCATGGAGCCCCAGGCCGAGGGAGATTGATAGTTCTTTTGTGTTTCTTCCATTTGCGAATAATCGCACCAACTGTTGTCACCTTCCAACCAAGCTGCTTGGCAATGGTCTTGTAGCCCATTCCAGCCTTGTGTAGGTCTACAATCTTGTCCCTGACATCCTTGGAGAGCTCTTTGGTCTTGGCCATGGTGGAGAGTTTGGAATCTCATTGATTGATTGCTTCTGTGGACAAGTGCCTTTTATACAGGTAACAAGCTGAGATTCGGAGCACTCCCTTTAAGAGTGTGCTCCTAATCTCAGCTCGTTACCTGTATAAAAGACACCTGGGAGCCATAAATCTTTCTGATTGAGAGGGGGTCAAATACTTATTTCCCTCATTAAAATGCAAATCAATTTATAACATTTTTGACATGCGTTTTTCTGGATTTTTTTGTTGTTATTCTGTCTCTCACTGTTCAAATAAACCTACCATTAAAATTATAGACTGATCATTTCTTTGTCAGTGGGCAAACGTACATAATCAGCAGGGGATCAAATAAGTTTTTCCCTCTGTAGCTTAGTTGGCCGTAAAATAAAATGTTTAGTTTAGTCTGCTGATTCACACATGTGCGATGGTTTCCCCTAGGATCATCATCATCACAAGTCACAATAAATGCACCGCTGCATGAAGGCGTCTCCCTGTCCTTGCCCCCGAAGCCGTTGCTATTTCTCACGACCCCATGATACAGTAAACCAACTAGCTCCTGCACGCGAGCTCATTTCATCGCTCCATCTCGTTGTTGGACGGGTTTGATCCCTTATGTTATGCGTGGTGGTGGGTTTACTTCAGGTAGATTTTTTTGTTCATTCATGGAATTGCCAAGTGATTCTTCTGAAAAAAAAAGTTAGTGTGGGGGGCCTGAGGTGGGGGGGGGGGAGTGTAATGGGCGTGTTCATGGATTGTTCCGCAGCAAAGGGAATGAAAAGGGGATAGCGATAGTGGTCAGGCCAAGTATTCTGATTGGCCTGGTGGCATTAACCTTTCTGAACAGCATTATGTCGCAATGTCAGCGCCTCCATGCCTACCTTAACAGCAGGAACGGAGCAGCAATGCAGCGGTAATCACAGTGCTGTAATATGAAAGATTACGCCTCGGTGGGGGGCTTACATGCTCGCGTGCATCTCTGTTCCAGTGCTGACGGCAGGTACAGGGTTTCCTTACACAGCAACGCCATAGTGACCTCGGATGGGAACGTCACATGGAAGCCGCCTGCCGTCTATAAAAGTGCCTGCAAGATCAACGTCAAGCACTTCCCGTTTGACCAGCAGAATTGCACCATGACATTTCGCCCTTTGGTCTGTGACAACAACGAGATAGACCTGGTGCTCAAGCACGACTTGGCCAAGTTGGACGACTTCACTCCGAGCGGCGAGTGGGACATCGTGTCCTTGTACGGCCGCAAAAACAAGGACCCTTCTGACCCCGCGTACGTAGACATCACCTACGACTTCATCATCAAGAGGAAACCTCTCTTCTACACCATCAACCTCATCATCCCGTGCGTGCTCATCACCTCGCTCGCCATCCTCGTCTTCTACCTGCCGTCTGACTGCGGCGAGAAGATGACCCTGTGCATCTCCGTGCTGCTCGCTCTCACCGTGTTCCTGCTGCTCATCTCCAAGATCGTGCCGCCCACGTCCCTGGACGTCCCGCTCATCGGCAAATACCTGATGTTCACCATGGTGCTGGTCACCTTCTCCATCGTGACGAGCGTCTGCGTCCTGAACGTGCACCACCGATCTCCGAGCACGCACACCATGCCGAACTGGGTCAAGAAGGTCTTCCTGCACAAACTGCCCATGCTCTTGTTCATGCAGCGGCCCAAGAACAGCTCGGCACGCGACCGCATGAGACGAAAACATTTGGGCGCCTCGTTCGCGTGCAAGGTGCACGGCGAGGGTGCGGACGCGTGCTTCGTGAACCTGGCGTCCGCCAACAAGTACGGCTTCAAAATGCAGGATCTCTCGGGCCCCTTCCGGAACATTTCCGAGCTGAGGTTCCGCACGTCGTCCAAGTGGACGCCCGAGATGCAGGAAGCTGTGGACGGGGTCAGGTTCATCGCGGACCACACCCGCAGCGAGGACGAAGACCAGAGCGTACGCGCCGCTCGCTACACACCCCTGTCTACTCACGTGCACACGTACAGCAGCAGGGTGACCTTGTTTATGGGGGGGGGAGGAATAGAATGGGGTAGGGGGCTGAGGTTACAATAGGGGGGTAGCCCCTCCCTGCCCCAACGCCCACCTTCTCCCCGACGTTTCGGGTCCGCGAATGGACGAGGGCTCCTCGCCGTTCGGGTAATGGGGCGGGCTTTTGAACACAACTTCAGCACCCTGGACAGCGGCCTCTGGCCATTCGTAAGGAGTCACGTGCACCCACTACATACAATTATGTTGTACGCGTGAATCGACACCGTCGTCGATGCTTACGCAAGCAATTTGTGAGCTTAAAAACCACGAAATCACCACGAGTCGATCAAAGCATCGTTACTATTTCGCATTGGGCTCTATTAACACTCGCAGACTCACAATGGTCATGGCTCCCATCTCCTATAGTAGCCCTAAGCTGCTATAGGAGATGGAGCAATCAGTTTCAAAGACAACGCCTATATTATCAGAATATGTTTTTTGTTTGCATTCTGACCACAAGTATTATGGTTAATGCAGACATGATTCCTTGTAAAAGGTTTCAGGTTGGTGTTTTAACATCTTAACACCTGTTTTGTTGCCAGAAAAAAGGGGGAAAACTATTATCAGCCCTAAACTAGTGGTAGACATTCAAATGGGGGGGATGGGGGGTGCAAGTATACCCATAAGGCAACTACCGTGGAGTTACCGCTAAGTGATGCCGATTTTAAACACCCTTAGGTGATGATAGGCTGAGTTAACCCCCTACATCTGACCGGTATTTAACCTGGCAACCTTCATATTGTTTAGTCAAGCGCTCCAAATGAATTTCTGCCGGTCCGCATAAAGTAGTAATTAACACGCGTGAGGGTTCACTCTCGCGTTTAACCCTTTGTGTGCCCAACCTGGTCACGGTGTTCAGTTCTACCGCATGGCAAATTGCACCAAACTAAGTTGCACGAACGCATTTTGATTCGTTATTTTGTCTCATCCGTCGCCATCCTTTTATTAATAATCGTCTTAGAGATTCCAGTGTGGACAAGAGAGCCTCGGGTGTAACACAGTGGTAACATTTTACAGGTCTAAACATGTGCATACGTGTCACACGCGTGTAGAAAAAAGTGTAGGGCACACAACCAGGCAGTGGAGTGGTGGTGCAGTGGTGAGCGCGCTCCTTCCGTGAAACCGGCTGAGTTAGATTTTCGGCCACGGCTAACATCAATGGGGAGAGAAATCTGAATCGGCCACAACCCTCCATTTACACCTTCACCAACCCTCAAACAAATCCCCCATCACCAACCCGTCGTAGGGAGGCTTTCACCCAGCAGTCATTTGACAAGGGGCTGTAAATGATTGCATTAAAATACATTTCACACCAGAAGAAACATTACGAAGTTGTTTAGCGCAGTTGTCAAAGCGTGCATTGTTTGTGACGTTAATTCCTCAAACCTGCTCAGAGCGAGAATCGCAGTACCACCTGTTTGGAATACTTCCCTGATGCCAAGAGAACAGTCATAGTCAAAGATTCCCAGTGCAGCCTCCAAGTTCTGTTAGCGAGCACCTATTGTGGCAGGCACGAGGTGTTGTGGCAAGCACCACGCCCGGTCGCCTTTGTCTCCCCAGTGCTGATATGTGCACATAATTACGTAGGCTGAGTCGACTTAGGGAAGACCCCGGACCCATTCAAATTGTCGCCACAGATATAAGCCGTTAGCCAGCAATCGAACTCAGGTCGTCGGGGTCGAAGCTCATACGAAAAAGTACACGCACCCATCGTGCAGACATTCATTCTTCCCACTCCACGATATGGTTTTCCCTTCTCGTTTTTAATTAAAGGCGAGATTTGCGTATAACAATAGCTGGGGTCGAAGATGCCCTGCGAGTGGGCGAAAATACATTTGCAAATAAATCCCCCAGCAAAGCCTTGATCTTTCCTCAAAGATTGTGCACACGTGCGTGGCTTCACAAGGGGGTGCGTGCACAGAGGGGGACGACGGGGGCTGGGCGGTCATGGGGATTTACAGGGGGGGAGGGGTGGATTACAATAGGGGTCAGGATTGATTACAGATCGAGGTGCCTGTTCACAGGGTTTGCACGCCACTCGCAGATTCCCGGAGACCCCAGTGAGTCCATATGCATATCCTCGTACCCTACTCCCCGTGACTTGGTTAACAGATGATGAGGATTGTTGCATTTTGAACTTCAGGATGAGCCAAACCCATGACTGAAACCGAACAACCCATGGGCTGTTATTGTCGAGTGTCCACATTGGAAAATGTTGGTTTCAGCATGATTAATTATTACGAGCAGACTCCGCTATGTATGGTACATTGCCTTTTATCCCTTAACATCGGTTGCGGTCGCCTATATGTTTGATCAAACAGAACCCCTCCATCTACATATGAAGAGGACTGAACACATTCGCCAATAACACTGTGGCCTTAAAATATATATTGTTTTGAGTCCAAAAAATGGCCGCAGTGTTTATTGAATGTCTTCTTGGTTCATTCTTTAAAGTCACGTAGAATGAGAATAAAATAATAAATTGATAAAATAACACAATAAAATTCTCACGACGTTATTGTGTTATTTTATCAATTTATTATTTTATTTTCATTCTACGTGACTTTACCGAAAGAACCAAAGAAGATGAATCCTTGCAGTCACGAAAGCTTTAAATCGAAATTTATTGAATGTGTTGAGTTTATTGTTGATTGTGCTTGTGCTCCACGAAACAACGCAGGAGCATCGCAGAATCACGTGTCACCTGTGAAGAGATTCGGGTCAAAAGGGTAACTGAATGTAACGGAGAAATTCACGATTTATAAAAATATATATTTTTTTGGGACACACGACGAAAATATATAATCATGGTGCCGGGTATTATGGGAATATTCATGACCCTGTTTCAGCCAACAGAGGGCGTTCAAGTTAATAGGCCAGCGGGTTTGAGGAGATATAATTGACATGAATGCAGCGAGTTTTGAAATTTGTATTTTTGGAGGCAAAGTTTAATGAAATATGTCGATTATGCACCGCCGACCTATCTGGATTGTTAATTATATCTTAACAGCTGCCATTCAAAAAACAACAAAAAAACTTCAAGTACCTATTTCTCCCTGCATGAAATATCCTTATAATTAAGTTATATAGAATCAGCATTGCATGATTTGAATGAAATATCTTTTGGTTAAACCTATATTTAATTTATGAAACAGTAAATAGTTCAAATGTTATGTCCGTTTATGAACGACGGGCCAAACGTCACCACCCTCAACCAAGTCGACTTCCGTTTGGTAGCGGCCACAGGCGGCCATGTTGGTGGCAAAGGATAATGGTGGCACCAAAATTGCGGCATCTTTTTTGCTCTTCTCGCTATTACAGTAAAACTCAGTCATGGCCACCACGCTCTCGTGAGCGGTGAGGCAAAGACAGACTGTGTGCACTGGACCCACCACAGGCTACGGCTGGGTGGCAGACGAGACGGGTCCATACGCCCTTCCGTGTGCCGCCGGTGCGTTCCGCCATGAATTTATGACACGGGTTGAAATTGAAAAGGTCGACCGGGTTTAAAATATTTATACAGACATTGCATGGTAGCGACGCCGCTGTAAATCTAATCTGTGCTTAATTAAGCGCAGATCGAATATAAAAAATACACACGTGGTGTACTTTTTTTTATCAAACCGATGTAATTACTCAGCCATTGGCGTTTAAGAGAAGCCACGTTGTGCCCATCATACATTCCCAGCTTCCTCCATTCTATTTTGTTCATGCTCATGCCAATATGTTCATGAGCTAAATGCCAGTGTAGGTCTGCTCGCCACGGGAGTGCTTCAGGAGAGTGTGTGTAGGTATGCTATTTATCCATTGAAGGATTGGCAGATTAAATCTTTTATTATATATTGGGATTTTTGTGTCTTCAGGATTCCATAAGATTCATGGTAAAAATCCAACCTAATGCTCGGAGTAAAACTATGGCACCCTGTAATATATTGTCGACATAGCACGTTTCACAGGCTAAACAAACACGAAATCTACATATTTAGCATGAAATCTTGACTTAAAGCTTTCGTGACTGCAGGAATTCATATTATTTGGGTCCTTCGGTAAAGTCACGTAGATAGAAGAAAAATAATAAAACAAAAAATCACGACGTTTCTATTGCAGCACAAGCAATCGTCTTCAGGTTAAAAAAATACATCAGGCGGACTGCTAAGGCAGGGAGAGTATAGCGAGAGAGCTACTGCAGCCAAAGGTTATATATGTTTGAGAAGGGCACAACCCAAGGGTAACTGAGCGGGGCTAGAGATGGAATTTGCAAGTCAATGTAAGATCGCAGAGCTAGGAATACCTCGGCTAATTATGTTTGCATTTTAACCACACTACTTGTGGCCAGAATGAAAACAAAAATAAAGGCGATCGGTATTACCTTGGTGTCGTGGCATCTTTTCAGAGAAGTGAGCGACTCGACCAGATGAGCCTTCTTGTCTCGGAGTCTGTTAAAACCTATATAACCTCTGGCTGCAGTAGCTCTCTCGCTATATTTCTTCCTGCCTTAGCAGTCCGCCTGCTGTATTTTTTCACCTGAAGACGATTGCTTGTGTTGCGATCGAAACGTCGTGATTTTTTATTCTTTTTCTATCTACATGACTTTACCGAAAGACCCAAATGATGTATTTAGCATTGTTACAAAGGGAGACCACTTTCAAATTATGGCATTAAAACAGGTAGGACTGCTGAACTTAGTCGATGGTTCCAGATCAGAGATTTATTTTTCTATCCAATTAATCATAATTGCCTTTGAAGAAAAACCATTGCAGGTTGATCAGAGGGTTGTGAAATTGAACACGAGGTCAAGTTTAATTCGACCAATAAAGCCAATTATGGGACCACCATCTACTCAAGAAAGGGGTGGAACAGTGGATCAGTGTTCAGCGCACCACCCGATGAAGCTGGCCACCTGAGTTAGATTCCTGCCCACGGCTAACATCAGTGGCGAGTAATATCTGAACCTGCCCTGGGCATCCTGCTCACCAACCCGTACTGACCAGCATGGTGAAGTATGGTCAAACAACCTGCATGACCAACATGATATGGGGAGACCTTCATTCAGCAGTGGATTGACAAGGGGATTGCATCTTCTCACGTATCAGAACACGAATGTGCTTGGAAAACAATAACGCAAGTAGAAACTGTGAGCGCTTTTGATTGGAATTACTTTCATCTACGCTGACCCACAGAATATACGTCTTCCAACTAAACATGTAACGTTGCGCCAACGTTGATTCAACGTTTCCCACCACATTCCACCGTTGGCCCAACGTCACGATTGCCGGGTACCTTATTCTCTTTATCCTCATTCTTCTGCACAGGTGATCGAGGACTGGAAGTACGTGGCCATGGTGATCGACCGCCTCTTCCTGTGGATATTCGTGGTGGTGTGCGTGGTGGGGACCGTGGGGCTCTTCCTGCAGCCGCTGTTTCAGAACTACACGACGCCAACCATCGCTTAGCTATTACAATGGGGGGAAGGGGGGGAGCTTCCCACAGCAGCAAACAACAGCCGCCCCCCCCCCCCAATAGCCGTCCTCTCCCATACCTTTGAAAATGACTTAATTGCTTATAATATACCAAAACGCCACTCATACGTGTCATGTATATGGATATACAGTACGCATTTCTCTAGACCGAGCTTTGTATAAGAGTACATGAAAATTCAAGCAAACCACACAAATATTATGAGCGAGCCACGTGCTATCACGGGGTTAATGAACACTGCCCCCCAGCTGCGGCAGACAATATGCGTATGCGGCAATGGGACGATCACTGAGTGGCTTTGCGCTAAAGAATTGGAAAAATAAGTTTTTGCATTCGAGTTTTCAAATAGTAAGTTGATTGGCCATGCAGTGACCGGATACATTGATCGGGTCTGATCGGTTCTGCATTCAGGGAGCCAATCGTAGTCTTCACCGGTGTGGGTGATTGAACCTCACAGGTGATGGGTCTAGTCAGTCAATGGGCTGGGAACAGTGAATAGCCATGAGAGAGATATATAAAGGAGGAATAACTTGGATAGAAGGTGCAGCAACTGGAGCGTGGCAGCACTACGGACGAGCAGGACATCACTTGACCAGCCAGGGACAACGGCCAGCAGAGAGGCGTTTGCGTTATAGAAAGGACCAGTCAGGGAGACTATAAGTAAACCTTTACACCGATGATACATTTTGAGGGTGTATCTATGGGTAGAAGGGGAGCTTAATAGGGTTCCCCTTGAGAATGCAAGGATCCTGGTGGGGGAGCCAATCTGAGGAGCAGAGGTGACCAAGTACGGGAGTCCAAGGCCCAGAATCCTCAGGTACCTGCATTAATTTCATAAAAGGAGACTGGGCACCCGCCTTGCGCGACCCATAGCATTGCGGATATACTAACAGCCTTGCGTGACCCATGGCGTTGCAGTTTTGTGCGACCCATAGCGTTATGGTTATACTAACAGCCTTACACGACATAGCATTGCGATTATACTAACAGCCTTGCACGACATAGCATCGCGGTTATACTAACAGCCTTACACGACGTAGCATTGCGGTTATACTACCAGTCTTGCGTGACCCATATCGTTGTGGTTATGCGAACAGCCTTGCGTGACCATATCGTGGTTATGCGAACAGCCTTGCGTGACCCATAGCGTTGTGGTTATACTAACAGCCTTGCGTGACCCATGGCGTTGCAGTTATACTAACAGCCTTGCGTGATCCATGGCGTTGTGGTTATGCTAACAGCCTTGCGTGACCCATAGCGTTGTGGTTATGCTAACAGCCTTGCGTGACCCATAGCGTTGTGGTTATACTAACAGCCTTGCGTGACCCATAGCGTTGTGGTTATACTAACAGCCTTGCGTCACCCATAGCGTTGCGGTTGTACTAACAGCCTTGCGTGACCCATAGCGTTGCGGTTATACTAACAGCCTTGCGTGACCCATAGCATTGGGGTCGGGCATGTGAGCTCTGCTTTAGGGTGCATGTTCTGAGCTGTGGGTGTTTCGCTGAGATGAACACGGGAGCGGTAACTGTGGATACGTAGCGATGGTTGCACAGAAAGGTATGGAACTGAATGTGCCCATAACTAATTTAGGGTGGGTGAGCGAGGTTTGTAAGCAGGAGTTCTAGCGGGTGCACAACAGTAAGCCACAGCCAGTTTTCCAGGGGATCACCTTGTCTAACACCGCGTCGATTTGACCTTAAAATGTGTTCGCATGCACGGGGTGGTACCAGCGTCGTGCGACTCGTATCTGATACAGTTGATACATGGGCTAGTGACTGACAAACTATGCACCAACTGGCCGAGCATGAGTTTGTGTGATTTGAGTGAGCGTGTCATTTGACCACGATCGCGTTGGTGTGTGTTAGACGTAACGGGGTGCCCGGATTGTGTCGGCACTCTGCCCTTCTATCTGTAATATCCCACGGTGAGCTCCGTTAAAGTGAACTCGGACCCTAACCTGGTGGTGGGGGTGTGGATTAAATGACTTGCATGACATAACCGCGGTTGGGTAAGTGAAGAAGAGAGTTCACGTGATTAAAAACACACGCAACTTAATGCGTGCTGCCATTCAACGCACAGCTCACCTGTTGTGAAGTAAAGTGTGGGATACTTATGCATCTTTAAAATGTTTGGTCATCGTGGAAGAGTAGGCCAAATAGCCATCTTTGTGGAATGGCATGAGCAAGCAATTGCAGGACTGCACCTTTACTTTTCACACTCCGTCAAGCGAGGCAATGAAGAGCCGAGAGTTTGACTCTCGTCTGGGTAGAACTCGTTTTACAATAAATGAATTGCACAGTCGAGTTCATGGCAAATTGCCTCTTTGATGTTGATGGTGATCGAGTTAGTGGTGAGGCTGTCCTTTACGCTCGCACACAATATTCACTCATTCGTGTAGGAGATCTGCTGATTATATGCTTGAGGTTATGCGCATTGTGGATACGTATGGGCGACCACCATTTATCAAATTAAGGCGGTCGCAATTAACTGTGGATTGAACATTTAAGTAATTAACCCCTGGCATCGACATAGCAATGTGCGACTATCGCACATCGGCGCTGTTCACGGTCCTGGTTTTCCCGGGCTGCACAATTGTTCTGATGTGATGGACATTTCTCGCGCAGAAACAAACTTGGTCGCACACAAACGTACGACTCCTACCGCACCGTCCTTCATCGCTCAAATCATTCATCGTGGTAGATGCAGGAGAAGCACTATTACGTGGAGCGGCGAGGCAGTGGTTCACGATTACCCGGGCCACGGCTTTAACGTCCGTAGCAAGGGGCTATCTGAAGAGGTCCTTGGGCACTCATTTCACCAAGCTGCACTGACCAGCGTGGTACGGTTGGGTCAAACACCCCCCCCACCCCCAACTTGACTGAAAGGCGAAGGGAGGAGGCCTTCATCCAGCAGTGGACAGAGTTGCTGTGCTTTGCAGCAAATTGCAAGTGGCACACACGCTCTGAGCTGCAACATCGACGACGGAGCAGAATCGTGCGTCTGGTTATCGCTTGATGTGTCCTGTATTTAATCACCTGAGGTCTCATTACGATTATTTATAATTCAACTGTCTAAGGTACACGTGGTGGATCAACGCACAGCTGTTTAGTGACGTTGGGTGCACACTTGTGGTTTGTTCGCAATCCACGTGGATTTTTTTTGTTTCTGCCTGGCTCAAAATGAACACGTGGATGAAGGCTCCCAATGTGTTGCGTCATTCAGGCATGGGAACGGCCCGAAATCGTTAAATCCCATTAATAAACATTGTGTGAGACTGGCGCAGTGACAACTGCTGCCCGACCTACGACCCCGTGTCATTCAATAAGATGACGACACGAACAACCCCGATTGAAATTGCCACCATTTGCCGAGCAATTTAATTTTACCCCTTAAGTAGTGGCTTAGCGTGGCTGGCACTGTGGCCCTGGTGCAAATGATGAAAGGGACCCCCTCCCTGTCATTAACAAAACAACACTCATTGTTTGCAAAGGAATGGAACAAACATCCCAATCTAAGGCCGTCCTTGAAATACTTCTGGATGAAGAAAAAATACAATATCTTAAATTCACGCTAACACTAATAGCAGGGTTCACGTATAACGCTACACCGCAGTGATTAGCTGCTCCTGTGTGGTGGAGCTGTTCAATCAAATCAGGGATTAACGGAAAGGCCCTAAGCCCCTTTTAACGATGATTGTGCTATTGTACTATTTCCCCTATAAGCGGATCGTTAGCAATAGCGGAGATGGAAGGTTCGGAGAATCACTTTATTATTGGTGAGGCTGTGCCGACGCGTTAGGGTGTTGCTTGATGCTGTGTCCGGGAATGTTTAGTGTGTATGGGGGTGATTGTGTGATGGGGTGATGGGCGAGTGTGTCGTGGGTGATTGAAGAATAGCCGGGTGGTGGGTGAGGGTCTAAATGTTGTGCGGGATGATGAGTGAGTGAGCGCGGAGTGTGTATCGACTGACGGTGTGTCGTTAAAACCCTCCACCACCCGACACAGCCAACTAGCAAGGGTTGTCACGTAAACAGAACGTGCCAATTCGTCACGTGTTGAATTGAGTTCTCGCCAGGTTCACGGTTCGATTCCGCGCGCAGTGGCCGGGTTATTTCTAAGTGAATGACCAAACCACTGCTTCTAAAGAGAACATGAAAGATTAAGGTGACATGCTTGGTAAGAGGTAGGCTAATGCGAGCCGGTCAGTGTGGTGAACCGTGGTTGGGGAAGTCGTAAGGGGGGGCGCAGATACGCCGGGACATACGAGTGCAGTACAACGATTGTTTTTTCTGCGCACTGCCCTCTGCTGACAACGTTGCAGACTACGGCCACCAGCCTCACCCCCCCCCCCCCCACCCCCCCGCTTGGCTTGCGAGCTCTGTGACGAGATCGGATGCGTTTGCGGGTAATTTGGATTGTCCAGGCCCACCCCCCCGTGTAATTTACTTAACGTCCTCGTCGCCTTCTCTGTCGAAAACCGGCAGTAAATCTCTGCGCGCTCGCTGTCCCGCTGGTTACAAAAAAACACACAATCGGGATTCAATTCTACTGGGTGGACTTCAAATGGCCGAGTGGGCATCGCTGAACGGACCTCTCCAAACCCTATCTGAGACTATAAACTCCGTTTCCCTGTCAGTTTAGCTTTGTTTTTTGTTTCACAGGCGATCCGTCGTTTTTAAGCCCCGGGACTCTGGAGAGTGGAGGATTTGGAATAATACTTTCTTTTGTCAAGACAACTTATCCACCACTGAGGGGCTTAACCTACGCAACCTAAATCTGCCCCTCCTCTGAAGCCAGCCTAGCCTCGTGCTGAATGTCAAGCAGAGCCCCGGGTAAAAAAAAAAAAAGTCGAAGGCGTCGTCCCTTCTGGCATCCCCCGGTCAAGGTGAGGCCGCAGTCGTGTGCTGGAGGGAACACGGGAGCTGCCTTAGGCCGTCCTGGAAAAGGTAATGTGGCAGTTGGGGAAGAAAACACGGCCCTACTCCGGGTCCTCACTGAGAAGCGGAGAGGTGGCCACGATGATCCTCCGAGCTGCCCTTGAAGGCCAACTGGTAGAGACTCAAATTTTGATTTAAAGCTTTCGTGACTGCAGTAATTCATATTCTTAGTTTTTTCGGTAAAGTCACGTTGAAGGGAAACAACAAAATAATAAAATATATATAAAACAATAAAAAATTCTCACGACGTTAGCAATCATTGGAAAGATTTGATAAACCATTTCAGGTCTTAATTGATTGTTCACGCTTACAGTGGCTTTCAGACAGCATACATTATAAAAAAAATTCGTCTCCCCCTCCTATTTTCAGAATATAGATGGACTAGTCCTAAATAAACTGCCAAATCGTTGCGCGTGGCGCTAACGTTTTTATAAATAAATAAATGCACCATTTAAAAATAAATTTATGCAAACCAACACACCTGAAGACGACCGTTTGAGTTATGGTCGAAACGTCGTGAGAATTTTTTATTGTTTTATATATTTTATTATTTTGTTGTTTCCCTTCAACGTGACTTTACCGAAAAAACTAAGAATATGGTAGAGACTCGTGAATCCAGGCTGCGGGAGCTCGAGGAGGCATACACCAAACTGGATACTAAGGGACGAGGAGTGTCATCCGAAGGATGACTACGGACTCCTGGAGTGGGTCGTGGGCAGCACCTCCACAAGGCACCCCCTTTTCCTCAATACGAATGCCAGAATCCTAAACGTGCAGATATTGTTTTGTTACCACTCCCCGGCATCGATTCAACTCGTTTTAGATCCAGATTGTCGTCCATTCCCTAATTCGACAGCTTACTAATGATCGTAGTAAAAGATGATCACACCCACGGTGTTCTTTTAACGCGAAAACTCCTTTCAATAATAATAATAATAACGAAAAACGCGAACGGCCACGAAGCACGGCTCGCTGCGACTCGCACCGTAGCTCCGTCACACTGCCCTAAAGCGGCGGGAACGGAAAGGCTTCCCGCTCCTTTTAACATAACGACAAATTTAAGTTGTCGACAAGATGAGCGGCGGATAATTTCTGATCCCTGGATAGGTGGCTTCTGAACGAAGAACCCATGACGGGGGGAGCTGAGGAAGGAAATAGGCGAGTTGATCCAGATTAACTCGGCCTTTGACCCCCCCCCCCCCCCTCCTTTCTAGATACTCTGGGACTCTCAAGTAATTTGCTAGGGGTTTCTATGATGGAGAAAGGTGCACGCCGAATTAAAAATATTAATGAGGCAACTGGAACTGGCGCGGGACCTTGCAGCCTTACATGAGAAGTTTAAATCCGCCCAGCAATCGGAAATCATCAGCGAAATTGACGTCTGAAAACAAAAATGCGGACTGCTGTTGGTAACGTCCGTTCAAGCACTGCTCACTCGGCCATAACGTCACAAGTAGTCAGTGAATGAGTTGATGGAGAATAATGCATGCGCAATGGTTTGACTCTTGACTCAAAGATTCGTTTTAAAATGTTGAAGTGACAATGGAAATTTGAATAAATTGAGATTTTTTGTTTAAAATGTCCCTATTGTGCTATTTAGGAAATCTGCAGTAACCTACAGCTTTGCTCCATGACCAAAGCACCTGGAGTGTTCCCGATCTTAGCATAACTCATCAGCTAAGCAGCATTGCGGCTGGATAGTGCTCGTGAAGAGGAGTCGGAGACTGGTTCAGCACTTATTTATTCTTCCAAGCAGAGCCACACTCGTTCCTCAAACAAACCCCGAACACGCGTTTCACGGCGCCATTTAAACTATAATGTCTCCGCCCCCCTTCCGAATCCACATCTCTGTCGAGCGTGCCGCGTGCGTGTGACGTCGTGCCCTTTAACCCTTGACCCCCGTCTAGTGGATTCCCGTGCGTGTGATTGGTGTGTGCGATGTTGAGTGCGGAGTTTGTGTGTGGTGCGAGTGTGTGAGCATCGCTCGGAGATCCTCTACACTTGGATAGACAACAAAGCATCCATAAATGGGTGTTTTCGGCTGCAGGATATGTCGTGGATTGCATAGTACTGCAGCAAAAAGCCACTGTGTAATACTTCTTCTGTACTCTCCCATCTTCACTCAACCCCGCTGACTAGGCTGGCAATACTCTTTGGTTCTATTCGGTAAAGTCACGTAGGTAAAAAATAAAACAACAAAAATCACGACGTTTCGGCCACAACACAAGCGGCCTTCATCAGGTGAAGGGATCCGGCTGTATCGAGGACAGCGCTGGAGTGAAACACAGCCACGCTCAGACCGCGGACCTTTAAGCTGTGCGGTGTGAGCGTGGCTGTGTTTCACTCCAGCGCTGTCCTCGAGACAGC